GGGGGGGGGGGGGGGGGGGGGGGGGGGGGGGGGGGGGGGGGGGGCTGGATGGCACAGCTGGAATATGGGTCAAATTGCCACGATCTATTGGCCCACACATGGCTGAGTGACAAAATGGAAAATGTGCTGAATCGATGGGGCAGCCACAATATCCAGCCCTTTGACCGAGACTTGATGAAGCGTCTTACTCCTCCGCGTGCGGATCTGTGCTCTCATTCTGCCCAATGCCCTCTCCTGCTGACAACGAAAGAGCACGGCTGTCACGGCCACCTCAACGACCGTCATCTCGATCGTTGTCATCTTCGCACGTCCGTTGTCGCTGCCGCCTTCCATCGGCACGTGTGTTGCAATGCTCATGAACCACAAAAATACAAAAGCCTACCAACTCGCCACGACCACGGTAATCTCAGCGCCAAGTCGCCGACGACGTTCCCCGCGTGTGCTCGACTCCACACATACGCGCGGCGGCAGGAGGCGGCGATGGCGATGGACCTTCGCGGGGCGCTCACAAATTCGTGACGACTTACAAGAACTCCACTGCGCCGCTGCAAATGCCCGTTTCCACCGTCGCCAATATGGACGCCACCTGCCCCGCGTCGCCGTCATGACGTCCAGCACCCAATTTGAAATTTGATATTCGAACGGGAAGGTCCATTGCTTTTTAACGTTTTTTTTGTTCCCAGTCGCCAGCGCCTTTCAAAAATTCCCGCCTTCGGCAGCTGGACCGCACCGTAGCAAGACGGACATCACCCAATGGACCAAGGCATTGCCCCCCCGTGGCTGACTATAATATTATGAAAATGGCTGCCAGGGGCCAAAAGGAATCATCCTTGGGAGACCACCCCAAGGATAGGTGGAACGATGGTGGGAATTTCCTTCAAAACCCCGAAGGGAACTTCCTTCGGCCCCGAGGCCGCCCCAAGGAGTGTCTAACGAGCCCCTCCGTCATCTCATCTGTGGTAGCCAAAACAAGGTCCCACTTGCAAGAATCAAGATATAAAAACTTTATTTTCCATTGATATGAAGTTATTTACAACCACTACAAAAGGGCAGGAGCTGGCATTTGCCTGTTGGCGAGGT